CAATAATCCCAGTCATACGCAGTCTTTCAAGAGATAAGAAAATAGTTCACACAGAGACTGGCATAAACCCATAGTAGCCTCACTCACTTGGATACAAGTAAAACAGCCACAATTAAAGGAGCAAGAAACTAAGTTCAGCCAATTGTTACTTTGGAATACTACTCAACAATAAAAAGCAATGAATTAACAAATGTGCTAAAACATGAATAAATAAACGGAAATTATTCTAAGCTGAAGAAGCTGGACAAACAAGTAAATGATGTGTGATTCCATTTTTTTCAAGTTCTAGAAAATGTGAAATAAATTTATGACAGAACAAGCAGAACAGAAGATGACACGAGGCGAGGGGCGAGGATTCCCTGGGAAGATGACATGAAGGAACTTTGTAGGGGAGGAAAATACTTTATATCTTCATAGAAGTGATGGTTACATGGGTATATCCATTTGTCAAAATAATGAACTTAATAATTTACATGATATATAGATAGATTTTACCTCAAAAATGAAATAAAATGAAATGTCCTGTGGCTGAAATGGGTAGATGAGTGGGTGATACAATACTGGTAGAATCTTAATCACTGTAAAAGCTAAGTGACTGAAATTGTCTATTACATTATTCTATTTTTTATTTATTGATATTTCCAAAATAAGACTTTATATACTGGGAATATACAATCAAAAATGTTTATGGCATAAATATATACTTCTCAAAATGACATGCCTGTGCTTCATATGGAGAATTTTAAATTTTAAATGTAGCTCATTATTTTCTTTAGCTTCACCCACTCCAGCCTCACCCCAGCATGCCTCCCATCTAGTGGGTCATTAGAGAGCATAAGACATAGTTGTCAACTACAGTTCTCAACTACCACCAGCCCCCAAATTAATTCTTCCCTAGTATCTCAGATATTTATTTCTAGTAAAAACTGGTACAGATGGAGAAATCAGAGCTGCTGCATATGCTGTAAAATACAACTGATTTGACAGATCCCAAACTTAGCCTTTTTTTCTTCGAATATTTTATTTTTTGTTAATGAGGAAAAATCCTTATTTTTAAAAAAAAATTATCATATTCAAGTTTTTTTACTTCAATTTTTAGAATAATAAATCCTGGGGCACTAACCCAGATCACTGGTCTGTCTCTCTACTGCTGACACACATGCTCAGTCACCTGCCAGCCATATCAATGAGTCTATCTTATTTTTCTAAAATCTGCCTAAGAAAAAAAAAATACAGCTTTCACATGACATATCCAATGAATGAGAGGAACAACCAAGAAGTAAACAATATAAGCAGGCTCAAACATGGCTATTTAAAGGCATAATACATTAATGCCTACTAGGTCATAAGAGGATTGTTAAGTGTGCTTAGGTAAATCATCTTCTTCACAGAACCTAATAAGGGGTTCAAGTATCTATCAATTAGTTCTCTACAGACAGCATAAGGTAAATGTTGAAATTAGCTAAAATTAAAGATCCAAAATTACTGGGTAACTCTACTTAAAAATACTTTCATGCAAGTGGCGCTGTAGCTCAAGTGGTAGAGCGCTCGCCTTGAGTTGAAGAGCTGAGGGACAATGCCCAGGCCCAGAGTTCAAGCCCCACTACCGACAAAAAAAAAAAATACTTTCATGTAACATTTTAATTTTTGTACATCCTCCGCTAAATCCCAAGGAAGAAATTCACCACTGGGTGAACAGACTCTGAGAAAGTAAGTACTTCTTTACAAGTTGTCATGTCCAAAATGAGCTTTACAACGTTGGTGCGGGGGGGGGGGGGAAGGAGAAAGATTGGCATTGGGGAGGAGGGGGGAGGCTGGGAAGGGATGTGAAGGGTAAACAAAAGGAGGAGGCTGCAATGCTTGGTAAGAAATGTACGCATTATCCTGCCCATGTAATTGTAACCCCTCTGTACAGTATCTTCACAAATAAAATAAAATAAAATGCTACTTAGAAACCTGGAAAAGTAAAAATAAAAAAAAAATAAAAAAAGTAAGTACTTCTTGATGTTGTCCATCCATCCATTCATTAGCTCATCCAACAAACAGTAGAGTGTCTACACATAGCTAGTGCTGAAATTCATCAGTGAGGAAAACAGTGTCCATGCTCTTGTAGAGCTTACCTTCTAACACAAAGAGACAGACCAATAGGAAAAGATGAGAGACCTTTGAGGAGCACAGAGGGTCATACCAGGGAGGGGCTGAGGAGGTACACCTATGTAATACGTGACATGTGTGGAAACCCAAGAAAAATAAAGTTTCAGAATGTCAGGCAGAAAAAAATTTGCAAGTGCAAAGGCCTGGCATCTGAATTTTGTTCCAAAACTCAAGAAATATGGAGGAAGTGGCACTGTGGCTCAAGCGTTAGAGTACTTGTCTTGAGCTGAAGAGCACAGGGACAGCGCCCAAGCCCAGAGTTCAAGCCCCACAACCGACCAAAAAAAAAAAAAAAAAAAATATATATATATATATATATATATATATATATATATGGAGCCAGTGTGGCTACAAGGGAGGGAAAGGGGAATTAGAAGGTAGTTAAGAGAGGGAATACGCAGGATCTAGACCTCTCTCAGCCATTTTTAGGATCTAAGCATTTACTGAGACAGATAGGAGCCACTGGTGGACTATGAGCAAAAAAGATCCTACATTGTGTTTTTACAAAGATGACCAGCTACCCAGGCACTGGTGGCTCACACTTGTAATCCTAGCTACTCAGGAGGCTGAGATTTGAGGATGGCGGTTTGAAGCCAGCCCAGTCAGAAAAGTCCCCCCTGAGACTCTTACTTCCAATTAACCACTCAAAAACCAGAAGTAGTCCTGTGCCTCAAGTGGTGGAGCGCTAGCCTTGAGCATAAACAGACTCAGGGACAGTACCCAGGCCCTACATTTCAAGCCCCACAACCACACACACACACACACAAAGATAACCAGCTGTGTGAGGAGGACAATCAGTTGGGGAACAAGAAGACCTATTCCGTGATCAGATCACAATGTCTCTTGGGAATATTCTAATGTCATTTGTTTCGTGCAGCTTCATTCTTTGGCACGCTATTCCAATAAGTCAAACTATAGCCAACTGAAATGTTTTGTTTTTGTTTTTTTTAAGCACTGAACTTGGGATTAAGAATATTATTATTAATAATGATAATATTAATATATTTCAGTAGTTGTCCAAATGGGGTTTCAATTCAACATAACAATCACTCAAATAATGCATCTCAATCAATGTCACTCCTGTCATCTTCCTCCTCCACCTCTCCGGGTTGAGTTTTTGAAGAAGAAGCAAGAGTCATGTTACTTTCAGGATTTGGTTTGACTTAATTGGTAGAGGTTCTTTCATCTAGATTAATATAATGAGTAAATAAGACAAAGACTGCCAGCTGTCTGGACAATCAGTCACCTTTTCAAAACATGCCTCACAGATACCAGAAAGCAAATATTTTCATTTTGGACACGAAGGTCTCATCACACTGGAGTTATTCATCACCTTCATCACAACATAGGCATACTGTGACCGTCAAAACCCATCCCCTAGGAAAGTTGAAAAGGAATACATTTCCAACCATAAAATCCATCAGCACTCTCCCAGACGTCTGTTTCCTACGTAATTGATGAACTCCCTCTTGTAATGAAGGCACACAGTCACTTTTATCTCCAAGATTCTTGAGCTTACCAGTTCTACCAGCAACCTCACCCATACCATGTTGTGATCTCTGGCAGATAGGACCACTTATGCACAGCACCTGCCTTTCAGGACTGTAAGCCATTCTTCAAGGCTATTAATTGGTTTAAGAGGGTGTCAGAAATGCATACTTTCCTGCACACTTTGGTGATTTCATCGCAAGCTCAAAGCACTCAGATAAATTAAATCATCTGGCTGTATCCTGAATCACAGCTGGCAGGCCTGACTACTGCTCTTTGCGGATGAGCAAACAATACAGAATAAGATGCTCACCCCACTCTACGTTCCCATTTTCAGCATCCAGCGTAATGTTGCTAGGAAGAATTTTTAAAACAGAAATGTTAGTTTTGCAAATACATTTTGCAAATATATTTTTGCAAATATATTTGTTTTGTAACACCTGAGCCCCCATTTCAGAACACTGATGTTTTGTTTTGTTTTGTTTTGCAGATAGCTTCAACAGCCCAGAAAGGAACAGGGTTGGGGGCTGGGTAAGGCTATTAAGGTGGTTAATCTAGCTCATTGCTCGCCAGTGGAGCTTTAATTAGGGGTGAGGGGGAAGCAGGACGGGGGGGGGGGACTGTTAACACCATAAATACTACACTCACATTTCTTTATCCTCGCTGAATGTGAAAGGAATGCGCCTCTTAAGTTCTACTAACAAGCCAGGAGATACTCTCTCTAGGGGTCTGGGGGTGGGCTTAATGCTGTGCTAGTCTCTCTCCCTCTCCCGTTCCCTGTCCTTTTCCTCCTTTGCATCATTTACAAACTCTTGCTTTCATTTTGTTTTCTTTCATCTTATTGTGTGGGTAATCTTTTATAATAAGGAGGGAGAAATAATAAGATACATCAAGATTTCTTTCTCCAAGTCTAAATTTAAATACAGCAGGCAGAGAGAAGCGGTGAAAAGGGTGTGTGGGTGTAAATGGCGAGATTTCCCGGTTTCTAGGGGAGAAGGGCTCAGAGAATAAAATGCTAAAGGGATTTGAGAGCCGCGTGTGTGCGTGTGTGTGTGTGTGTGTGTGTGTGTGTGTGTGTGTGCAGCCATTCTCAGGGCAGAGAGGAAAAATCGGGAAGAAGGAGGGTGGGGGGGGGGAGAGAACAAGATTAATACAGGCAGTCACGAACCCCGACCCCGACCCCTCCGGACAGGGCAGATTTCCGACACCACCGAAAACCCGGGATCAAAGAACGGTTGGGCAGGCGGGCAGTGTCCCGCAGATCAGGAGGGGCAGGAAGGAAGCCAAATGGGCTGAGAGGCGATCTGGCCAAAGCGCTTGCCGGTGATGGAGAGGCAGCACAGGCCGCTGGAACCTACCTGGCACGGTCAAGGTAGAGGATGCTCCCGGCACCTCGGGCCTCTCTTCCTCAGCCTCCTCCCGCTGCCTCTGCTGCTGTTGCTGCTGCTGCTGCTGCTGGATGAGGCTGAGGTCGGAGCGGCCGAGCTCGGCTCGGGAGGCCGCGGGGACCAGCCGTGCCTTCAGCAGCACGGCCGCCAGGCCGAGGAGCAGGGTGCAAGGGACGCGCCGGCAGAGCCTCGCCATGGCCGAGAGCCCGAGGGCCGCGGCGGCATATTGCGGGGCTCCGGGCGGCGGCGGGCGCCAGGGCTGCGGGCTCCCGGCCGCGCCCGCTCGCTGGCTCCCCCGGCGCCGTCTGCGGCGCACACCCTCGGCGGGTGCGGGAGGAGGAGGGACGGGGGAGGGGGAGGAGCACAGGAGGAGGAGGGGAGCGCGGGAGAGGAGGAGGAGGAGGGCGGAGAGGCACGGGGCGGGCGCGGAGGGGAGGGGGCCCGTGGAAGAGGACCAGCCCCAGGTCTGCGCGCACCTTGGCGCACGCGACACACCGGGAGGGGCGCGCGGGGGCCCCTCGGCCACCCGCCACGATGCTGAGGCTAGGGTGCTGTGCTGGGTCTACAAAGAAGAGAGGCTGGGTAGGGGGCTTAGTCGTCTCCCAGCCCCTCCGGCGCATGCCCGCCGAGGGAAATTCTGCAGCAACTGGAATAAAATTCCTCCCACCTACCCCAAATTAGAAAAGAAGGTAGAGCATCCATTAACCTCCCAGATCACTTCCTGAAGCTTCAGCGGAGCCAAAGGCCCAGGGTCCCGCTACCGCTCCCCCCACAGCGCTGTTCCTCCCTTTGGCCCCCAGGCCAGTACACTACTGTACCTGGAGCCTGATCCCTTAGCTAGAAGTTAAAGTGGCTCTCCGGATGCCAAATAAACTTTCCTTTTTGCCTGACTGGGCATTTCTTTCGTCTCCATGAAACATTATACTTTTTTCATAATTATGTCCTACACTGATATATATATATATATATATATATGTGCTTAATAGGTCTATAAATTATATGTATATAATGTATACGTACATGTAATGTAAAATCCAGCCTCTATGTTCTGGGACCCCAACAGCTATTGAGGAGGGCAGTGGGAAGGAATTCACAGACAAAACACAAGCCACTGGGGAAGCTGGTCCTGGAGAAGCAGTACACCATTCAGGGGTTGCATAAAATTGGAAGGAATGGGGGTGGAAGTACTGTGAAACACTGGGGAGGGGAAGATAGAAAAAGTTTCAAAGAGAGATAGGAGCAACGAGAGTGTCTAAAAAGCAGAACTCTGAGGTGTGTGTGTGTGTGTGTGTGTGTGTGTGTGTGTGTGTGTGTGTTCTGAAGGTATGTGGCAGCACAGGGCACTTGGGACAGTGTGAGCCTTAATCCTGAGCCTTGATCCTAACAGGACTGTTGCAGATTGAAAAGGTGAGTTGACTAGGTCCTCACAAACACTTCTACAGTACTTAAGGTGAGACAGACACTGCTCAAACACCTAACATATGTAGTATTGCTGCTCTCTGACGGCTTTTGTGGTATTTTTGTAAAAACAAAGAATTTTTTTATTAGCAATATCAAATATTGAATAATTTCTAAGTGTGGTGGCCATTCACATATTTAGATAGCTACAAAAACATAGGAATTAGCTTTCAAAAAGATTTCTTTAAAGCAGAAACATGATTTTTCAAATTCTCAAATGTGTTTAAATCACACACAAGATGCTAAAATTAAGAGGCACACTCTCAAGAAAATTTTCTAGAGAAAACACAGAGTAGGCAATTTTTTTTCTGTTTCTTTGAAAATTTCCTTTTGTGAGCATATGCCAGTACTGGGGCTTCAACTCAGGGCGTGGGGTGCTGTCCCTGAGTTTTTTGCTTAAGGCTGGTACTCCACCACTTCAGCCATACCTCTACTGCCAGCTTTTTGCTAATTGGAGATAATAATTTCACAGACGTTCATTCAAGAGTTGGCTTTGAACCGTGATCCTCAGATATAATCTCCTGAGTTCCTAGGACTCAGGTGTGAGCCACTGGCACCTGGTGTTTATTTTATTTCATCTTACTTTTTGTTAGATTAGTTAGTCGGAAGCAAGGATTTATTTCAGCATAATATAGTTAAAGTAGCAAGAAATAGAAAACAGAGAAAAATATTTCCTGTTCCCTATCCAGGAAATCAGAGTTAAAGACTTGTTACTTTGATATCAGAAACATTGCCAGTTTAGTCTGAAAGGAATGATAAAATAAAAATGAAAGAATGGTTTTAGATTTATAAAATATTACTTGCCCAAACATCCTGGTGACACCACTCAGAAACACACACATGCTATATTTTATGGCTAGAGAGGAGACAAACATAAAGTAAGTCCCTGAAAATCATCTACAGGCCTGAAAGCTAAACATTGAATGCCCAGCTAGATTTTGAAATTATCTGAGACTAGTGACTTCTTTTGTTCCTTGTGCTTTCTCCTTCTTTGAACCAAAATGTCAACAGGTATGTTGATAGCTGATAATGTGTTTCTTTAGTTTTACCAGGCCACATATAGAAAGACCTCTTACCCAGGATGCTCACACCCTTGGTCTTGACCTACAGCTAATTCAGATCCCCCAGATGATAAGATTTGATCAGCTTGAACTGTTGAGATGTAGAGAGCAAGATTTAGTGTACAAATAAAAGTAAATGCATCCAGTGCACACAAATATAGTAACTGAAATTTGGTACATCCAAGGGAGAACTCAAATAGTATAATTTCTTAGAAAGGAAAAGTGAAGGCTCAACAAAATAAATACCAGGAAGAAAGTACTTAAAAGGGGTCAAGGGGAAAAGGGTGGATGGATGAAAAGAGGGAGAATACAGTCAAGAATTCCATGTGTAGCCTACAAAATGAACAAGAGTTGGGGAACAGGTGGGTATTGGAGGGATGGGTGAGAGTGTTGAAAGGGGTGATATTGATCAGGATATATTTTATTCATGGACTGCTTTTTAAATGGAGACTTCTTTATACAACTAAAAATAATATTAAAGAAACCAAAACAAAAAGAAATCAAGTACAATGCATCTGAACCATGAGAAAGATAACTAAAAGGTATGTCAGGAATTGGCTAGAACCCACACATTGCAGGCTCAAGGCTCAAGACTATCCCTTGAGAGGAGAGTGCTGAGGGGCATTGTGCTCACCTACAGAAGTGCTTGCCCAGGTTCAGCTGCCCATGCACTCAGAAACCACTGCCCCCAGGGTCCCAGGAGACCAAGCTACTACTCCAGCAGGTAGTGGACTTCAGCAATATCCACATGATACTTGGTTTGAAGACGTGCAGAATACAAGAGTAACGAGGGCATGGAGACTTCCACCTACATTTCAAAGGAAAGCCTGGGAAGGCAGACAATGAGCCATAGCATCAGGACCCCTTCAGGCAGCCACTGAGAGCACAATAGAAAACTGTGAAGGTGAAGAAGACTAAGCTTCAGTGTAGATCCCAGGATGTTGGAGAGGTCAGGAACGGGGTAAGAACAGCTCTAGACGATGAACAGAGCCAACAGGCAAAGCTATTAGATGGGGTTATCCAAACCCAGTGGACCATACATCACCATACCACAAGCTATGGAGGCCAGACATTGAGCTCCTGGATTGAATTTGGGTTTTTTGTTTGTTTGTTTTGGTTTTGGTTTTTGTCAGTCATGGGCCTGAACTCTGGGCCTGGGCACTGTCCCTCAGCTCTTCAGCTCAAGGCTAGTGCTCTACTACTCGAGTCACAGCACCACTTCCAGCCTTTTCTGCTTATGTGGTGCTGAGGAATCGAACCCAGGGCTTCATGCCTGCAAGGCAAGCACTCTACCACTGAGCCATCTTCCCAGCCCCTAAATGTTTTCTTTGTTAGGTTTTGATCTTACTACATTCCTCCTCTCTGTGCCCCCAATCCCTATTCTTGGAATGGAAATGTTTATGCCATTTTGTGGTGAAAGTAGGTAACTGGCTTTTTAAATTTTCCCAGCACATAGCTCAGGGTTTGCCTTGGGTCTCAAAAAAAATCCTTGGACTTGGACTTTCAAAGATGCTAGAACTGTTTAGCCTAATGGAGTTCATTAAAGATAGACTGAACAAGTTTTCCTGGTATGAGATACACATGAACCTTGATCCTTGAGCTGAAATATTAGAGTTTGTAGATGAAATGTCCCTGAAAAAAACTTGTGTATGCAAGGCTGTGTTTCTGATACAAGCACAGTCGGGAGGTGGGGACACGAGAGCCATACCCTCATCCATCTATTGATGGTTTCAAAATTTAACTCGACTACTGAGAAGTGGTGAAACTATTAAAGATGAGGCCTAGTTAGGGGATGTGTCTCCCTGGTGTAGCTTGTCCGTGGCCTCATTCTGCAATCCTCTGCTGCCGCTTGGCCACCAGCTCTAACCATGCCCTCCAGCTGCACGATGCTTTGTTGCAGCACAAAGCAGTGATCCAGCTAACCTCCCACTGAGCTTCGGAAACAGTGAGCTTTACTTCATTTAAATTACTTCTGTCACTCATCAGAGTAATGAAAAATCTAACTAGCATAATTGATGTCACTAAGAAGTAGGAAATTTAGTTTTTAAAATAAACTTTTCTATTTCTTCATTAAAGCATACTGTAAATTCAAAATAATTGTCCTATTGGCCAATTAGACTATGCTGATGAATTTTATTTCTTTTTGGCAGTACTGGGTTTTGAACGCAGACCTGTACACTTGCTAGTCAGTGCTCTGTATCTTGAACTATGCAGCCAGCTATTTTTGCTCTGGTCATGATCGAGATAGGGTATAGCTTTTTCCTCGGCCAGCATGAACATTGCTTTTCCTACTTATGCTTCCCTTCATAGCTGGGATTATAGACATGGCCCAACCACCCAGATACTGGTTGCAATGGGGGCCCATGAACTTTTTTTCCCAGGCTGCTTTTGAACTTCCTTTCTCCTAATTTTTACATCCTGTGTAGTTGGCTTACAGTCATGAGCCACTGGCACCTGTTAATACTACTGAATTTGTAAGGTGTTTATTTCTGTGATAAGCTCCTCCACACTTTATATTATACAAAGATGAAAAATATACACACATCAGTGTGTGTGGGGGGGGGTGCTGGTACAAGGGCTTCAACTCAGAGCCTCTCTCTAACTCATCTTCCTTGCTCCTGTGTTTTACCACTTAAGTTTCACCTCCAGTCCATCATCATAATTTTTTGGGGGGGGTCCGGTCGTGGGGCCTGAACTCTGGGCCTGGGCGCTGTCCCTCAACTCTTCAGCTCAAGGCTAGTGCTCTACCACTTAAGCCACAGCGCCACTTCCCGCTTTTTTGCT